AATAATAATAATAATAATAATAATAATAATAATAATAATAATAACAATAATAATAATAATAGTAATAATAATAATAATTAGCATTATTAATAATTACGGTAGTGTTAATAATAATAATGATAATAATAAGCCAAATAATACTTGTTAATAAGAAAAATTTAGAAACAAACCTTAGACGACATGCTGTATTAATTTGAATACCAAATCGTATATTCACTTGTCGTTTCCGATTGCTACATTCCATTCCGGTTGGAATTGATAATGTTTTACCAGTAGTGATACTTTCAATTCGTATCATTTGTCCCATATCATATCCTAATGATTTTACTATGTCCACAACATTTGAATTGGATGAAATTTCGACAAAAATTGCATCAAATCGATAAAATTGTTGAAAATAATTTTGTTTGGTTATATTAGCATAATGTACACTTATTGATATATCATCCAATAATCCATGATGAGTGATAAATTTAATCAATACCTATAATTTATGCATTATTTTATTAATATCATAATGAATTAATGTTGCAATATCCAAATATTCTATAGAGAATATTTGATTCCAATATTTTCGTTAATAAACGAAAATATTGAAAATAAAAATGTATGCTTTATTGTGACTTATAATCATTTAATTAAAATTGGAACCAATTATCTAAATATTGATATTTTATATTAAGTTTAATATTTAAAAAATATTATACCATTGAAACAGCATTGATACATGCTGTACCATTCCAGTATAACCAATGAATTAGATGACTCTTTTCCGGAATACCTTCCATTGATACTACCGTACGATTTCCATTGTTCTAAATTTTTTTTTTTTAATTTAAAAAATTAGTTCCTTTTTTTAATATTCGAGATTATTTATTCCTAGTAATTAATTCCTATACAAATATGTTTGCATACTTCTCACTTATTATATTTTAATAATTAATTTAATTCATAAACTTATAAAGCATTGAACTTATAACAGTATCTAATTCAAGAAATTATAAAAAAAAAATTATATATAAAAATAAGCATAATTTAAAATTAGAAATGAATTATACCACCATTATTACAATGACATTTAATTTTAGCATTGCAAAAGAATAATTATCTTGCATTGCTAATCAGTAAAATATTTTGCATGATCTTAAATCGTTTGCATGACCTTAAATCGTTTGCATGACCTTAAATCGTTTGCACGACCTTAAATCGTTTGCAAGACGTTAAATTCTTTCGCATAATTTAAAATTATTTCCATCCTGAGTTATGTTGCATTTACATTTTTCAAGAACATATTATTACTTTGCTTCATTTAATTTAAATTAATCAATTCATTCATGCAAAAATTTTAAAATGAAAATATGAAAATTTATTTGGTAAAAATCACATACTTTTGTTGAATATTTACGCAAATAATAGCTAACATTAAGATATTTTAAATCATTGCAACATTTTTCATCAAATATATTCCATTGAGGTAAACAAGTTATGCTGATATTTTTGAAGAAAGCTAAAATTGTTGGAAAAAAATTTTTTTTTTTTTAATTATTATTTTCTTGAACAATGAAAATTTTTTTCTTTAAATTAATGTAAAATGATAACTTTAAATTCGAAATAACTATTTATTTATTTGTTTGTTTTTTAAATCCATTTTATTCATTTCATCAATATTTATGCATAATAAATAGAATTTTTTAGAAAAAAAAAATAAAAAAAATAAACAAATAATTGAAACAAACGAAGTAATGCGGTTCCGGTACATTGATCAGAAAATATTGTTACCGGATATTCAAACGGTGTTATTTTATCATCATCCAAGACCTCAATTATTTCTTCCTAAAATTCCTAATTGATATTTTTACAAGAAATAATAGTCATTTCATTAGCACAAGTTAAGTTAGATGGTCACCTTATAAAAAAAAAGGGAAAAAAAATTGAAATATTCAATTGGAACAATTTTAAAAATTAAGTTTATTAAAAATCTTTTCTCTTTTAAAAATTAAGTTTATTAAAAATCTTTTCTCTTTTAAAAATTAAGTTTATCAAAAA